GCTGTTCAGGGAGAGCAGGCTCTCCTTGTGTCTAGGGCTCCCGGGGACACCAAACTATCATGCTAGCCCATAAGCAGGCTTTACAAATTTATTACAGTTTTAGATATTTTCTTCCTACCCACTTTTATGGCAAGACTTCTTCCTGTGCTCTGCCAAGAGAGAAAGAGTTCACGTGCCCCATCTTCCCTCAGAGGGGCTTGTCACCCTTTGGAATTCAGTTCACCTGAGGGTCAGCTCAGGTGAGGAACTCAGTCTCTGAGGAACTAAACAAAATTTTTAAAATTTTTTTTAGGTTGTGCAGCTTTCCGCACATATGGTGGGAGCAACATTCTCTTGCAGCTTTCTTCGTCTTAAACAGTAGCATATCTCCAGCTTTCCTGTTAAGAAACTTTCAAACAATTTTAACATGGCCTGCAAAACCCTGCACAGTCACATTTGCCTGTCTCTCCGGCTCACTCTTGTATCAGTCCCCTCCTAACTCACTCACTACTCTCCGGGAACAATGATTTCTCAGTTCCTCAAACATGCCAAGCTCTTCCCCATCCCAGAGCCTTTGCACTTGCTGTTCACTCAACCTAGTGTTCTTGCCCACGTCTGTACCTGGATAACTCCAGCAATTCAGAGATCCTTCCTTCCTCCTACATCCCTTTATCCACACTACATAAAGTACTTCCTCATTCTTTCTCACAGCTGGACAATATCCCGTTATCTGATATATAGTCTTTAATCAGTCCCCATTGGTGGTTATTTAGATTATTTTCAATCTTTTACTTTTACAATTAATAATCTTGTACATAAAGGTTATCTATAAGATAAATTCCTGGAAGACTTGCTGGATTAAATGGTCCATGGAGCCAGTTCAGGGTAGTGGTTAAGAGTCTTGGCTGTACTGCCTGCCAGCTGTGTAACCTTGGGCAAGTGATGGAACCTCTCCATACCTGTTTCCTCATTTGTAAAATGGGGATAATAATAGTACCTCGTAAAATTGTTGTGAGGCCTAAGAGAGTTGGTACATGTGTAGTGCAATGTCTAGCACATGGCCACTCCATTAATGTGAACTGTTGTTATTAGCATTTAAAATTTTAGGTAGATCTTGAAAAGTTTCTCCCCATACATATGTTATCATATGTATACTCCCATCAGTATGAGAATGACTGCCTCTTCATACCCTCAACACAGTGTCTTATTAAACTATTTTTTACTCTTTGCTAACATGATGAACACAGCCTCTCATACTAGTTTAATTTGTATTTCTCTTGTTAAGAGTGAAATTAAGCCTATTTTCATATGTTTAAGTACATTTATGTCCTGAATGTTCCACATGTTTCACAGACTCCTATTTGTCATTTCCTTTCTCTTACTGATTTGTAGGAGTTACTTATGTATTAAGGAGTTTAACCTTTGTCTGTGCTATGAGTTACTCTTTCATAGTATTCAATACTTTTCTTTCCTAGTACTTATTCCTACTTTTAATGGTGTCTTTATTTATGATTACTTTTTAATGTTTCATAAGACCAAGGTACATGTTAATTTGTTAATCATTATGTATTGAACACCAGGTAAAATGCTAAACACAGAAAAATAATCACTAAAAAAAATGATCAATAAATATTTAATGAAAGGGCCAAATATGACAAAGAGAACTTTCCTACATAAATAGACTGGGAAAATAGAAGGGAAACTATTTTGTATGGACATGTGATGAGTTTGGTTTTGGATATGTGGAGTGTTAGGTGACAGCCAGTGTTCTAAGCTGAATATGCAGGAGACTCCTACTTTGGCAAAATACTCATGAAGAGTACTTTGAAACAAATGATCTCTGATGGAAAGAATGTTATGTGAGGGTTCATAAACAAATACTTCCAATCAGAAACAATAGTTGTCATAACAGTTTTAAAGCAAATATGAAAAGGAAAAATAGAAGCATTATATATTTGCAAGTATAAAGATGTGGAGAATGTAGAAAACTTTTAATGCCTTGGGACTATAACGATTATTGAAAAGTATTTAGATAGTATGTTGTAATTTTACCCAAATCACTTATTGTGAAGGGATGAAAATCTTTACTAAAGGACAATTGCGTCCATCATAGTTATATAAGCTTGTTGAAATCAAAAGTGCCCTTTTTCTATAAAGTAGGTTATTTGGTGTATCAATATATTGTGGTTTTTAACTTATAATTAATTGGACAGTGATTGTGTTTTCTATTACTGAACTATCACTGAAAGATAGTCACTATCAACTGAGTCCCCAGTCTGTTTTTTACAGACTATATTAACTGCATGGAGAACAAGAAACCACTCAGTCTTCTAAAAAGAAGCGCTATTTTTTCAGAACAAAGAATTTATCCTAAAATATTATTCAATAAACAGGAATATCTTGATGGCTACAGTCATTGAATAACCATTTTGACTTATATGGATATGAATTGGTACCTTTAATAAGACCGTTGTGAAGTTATAGTCCTTGTTTACTAATTGTAAGAAAATAATCAGGGCAGGAACTCTATTTTGATAGCATGGCGATGCGGTATCCCAATGTCAATCTCAATTCTCAAATGATCCTATAGATTAAAAGATACTGTCTTTAAAGTATACATATTATTTTCTCCTCATTAAAAAAAAAGACCTGTGAATTAATAAATTAGAAGTATGGCTATAATTGCACTGAAGAGACAAGTCATTTAAACAAAAATCTTAGTCACATTAGAATGACTTTCTACTTTTAGCGTGTCTTTGCCCTATTGATCATCATTCCTGGCATTTCTGAACCTTTTTGTCATAAAAGCAGGGGTTTTGTGTACAGTCATCAGATTCTTCCCTTCAGGTGAGGGGCTTGTCAGTGAAAAATGAAGTGATCTGTAACAAAGGTGTAGAAAGTGTAAAGACAATAAATCTACGTGAACTGCAGCAGCAGTTGATCATGGCCTGTCTGGCTGAGCGTGTGCTGGCCATGGTTACTATCAGAGGTATATATAGTGTCACTTCAGGGGCTTTTAAGAAGCCAGTCATTTGCTTATGCTGAGTTCCCAGATATGCTTATTTTGTGCTTAAAATAGGAACATTTATTCATTAAGGGAGAAAAGAAACTCCTAGGTGGCCTGTGTTAATCCACAAAGGAAGTAGTTACAGAATTTTGGGCCAGGCTCTTATTTTGTACAACTGTGTTAAAAGACTGGAGGTAAATATAAAGTAAAGCTTGTTTTGTTTTTCTTATAAAAATAACATCATTAGAGCTATTCTCAGAGAATATGAAGTGAATGATGGTAGAGAAAGGTTTTATTTTGTTCATAGTTGCTGTTCCTGCATTTTTGCTCTGCCCCTTGCTGAGACTTGGGGAAATGGTTTGTTGTTACAGCTCAGTTACTTTCTAAAGAAGTAGGCTACCTGCACCAGGAGTCTGTTCTTTGATGTGTTAATGTATCTTATACTCATCAAAGGAGGCTTGATAAGTCAATACCAAAGACTGATCCAAGAGGTCAATTACAATCCTTAACAGCAGCAGTCCCCAACCTTTTTTTAAAAAAATTTATTTATGTACTTATTATTTTTGGCTGCATTGGGTTTTTGTTGCTGTGCGCGGGCTTTTCTCTAGTTACAGAGAGCGGGGGGCTACTCTTTGTTGCGGTGCGAGGGCTTCTCATTGCGGTGGCTTCTTTTGTTGTGGAGCACCGGCTGTGGAGCATCAGCTCTAGAACACAGGTTCAGTAGGCATTGCTGCGCAGCATGCGGGATCTTCCCGGACCAGGGCTCAAACTCGTGTCCCCTGCATTGGCAGGCGGATTCTTTAACCACTGCGCCACCAAGGAAGTCCAGTCCCCAACCTTTTCGGCACCGGTTTCCTGGAAGACAGCTCCACAGCTTCGCTCACTCTCCCGCTGCTCACCTGCTGTGTGACCCATTCCTAACAAACCGAAGACCAATACTGGTCCGTGGCCTGGGGGTTGGGGACCCCTGCTTAACAGTATTCAGGGGTGGAGCCAAGGGAAGGAAACCCTTGTGTTCTAAAGGAGTACCAACCATAATTGGAATATAAGAGAATGGGCTGCCTCAACCTGGGCCTGTTCTGTTGGTATGATGAGGACAAAAATGTACTTATTTATAGAAATATGGCCAAATGATTGCTTGCTTACTTCAGTCTGCATCTCTTTATAGCTAACTAATTATTCTCAATCCCATTACTGAAATGGAAGCTGAGTTTAGCAAATTGCTTGGCCATTAACATTTAGTGCACAAAATTCTTAAGTAACAAAATAAAATACTACAATCCATTGTAAATCACTTTGCTAAACTTTTAGACTTCATAAGGAATTTTGTCTTGTTCAAGAGCTACTTTCAAACCGCTTGCTGATCTGGTACTCATATGTCGATTCCCTGTGGAGCTGAGTGAAAGAATGTAAAGGGAGCCGATTAAAGAAACTTTGAGCCCGAATAGACAAGCGGAGGCCATTTTGTCCAGCCTTCTGCCTCCAGGCAAAAACCATCCCCTGCACCAAAAATTTTTGCTTGAATCCTGCTGACAAAAATGCTCACCGGGCTTCCCTGGTGGCACAGTGGTTGGGGGTCGGCCTGCCGATGCAGGGGACGCGAGTTCATGCCCCGGTCGGGAGGATCCCACATGCCTCAGAGCGGCTGGGCCCGTGAGCCATGGTCGCTGAGCCTGCGCGTCCGGAGCCTATGCTCCGCAATGGCAGAGGCCACAGCAGTGAGAGGCCCGCTTACCGAAAAAAAAAAAAAAAAAGCTCACCACATGTAAATGTCAAGTCACGATCCATTTATTGCAACTAAAGCAGATTGTTAACTGTTCAAGACATATTTATTGTGTTCTAAGATGCTGAGTATGAAAGCTCATCTAAATTGTTTTAATTCCTCCTTTCTAGACAATTATTTTGTACAAGAAATGTACTCAAATAATTGTAAAGCTGTGGGAAATTTGTGTCCAGGAAATAAAGTTATCTTTATCATCTTATTAAATGTATTTTTGGTTTCCTTTCACTCAAGGTCTACCTTACGGGTGGGAGGAAGCTTACACAGCAGATGGAATCAAGTACTTCATCAAGTAAGTACAAGCATCTCAACCAAGTAAGCAATTTTCTTCACATCTGGAGAGAACCTGGAAGTTGCAGAATAATCAGTAATACCAAGAAACCCTCTTGGAGGTTACAAAAATTAGTAACAAGAAGTGAAACTTCACCATTTTCATTTCATGTGATTTAAATGCTAATATCAGATATCATTTAGAAAAAAAAAAACCTAATAATTATTTCAAGGGAAACATCAAAAAATTGGAACAGGATTGTCATTTGAACCTAAATGTTGGCTGCCTCAATTCACTTTTGGCTAAAAGTATTAATATTTATGCAAAGTTAATATCTAATGAAAAGGTCTTGTCTTAAAACTTATTAACAATAATAGTAATAATAATCAACATTTTTTCATGCTTTGCAGTGTACACAGTTCATTCATTCTACAATTTTTTTTTTTTTTGCGGTACACGGGCCTCTCACGGTTGTGGCCTCTCCCGTTGCGGATCACAGGCTCTGGACGTGCAGGCTTAGCAGCCATGGCTCACGGGCCTAGCCGCTCCACAGCATGTGGAATCTTCCCAGACCGGGGCATGAATCCGTGTCTCCTGCATCGGCATGCGGACTCTCAAGCACTGCGCCACCAGGGAAGCCCTGCAAATATTTTTTGAGCATTTGCTGTGCACCAGGCAGTATTCCATACCTTGGAGATACAGTAGTGAGATATATAGACTATATATATTCTATATATTCTCTGATATCAAGGAATTTACTTAATAGTGAGGAAAAACATACAATATATAACTGAGTAGATAAATGAGACAGTATATGAACAAACCTCATCTCAATGGAGTCTCAGAACATCCTTCATTTATAGATGAAAAAAATAAGAGCCTAGAGTAGTTGCCAAAAAATCCACAGCTAACTAAATCACCAAGCCAGAAGGGAATCCAAGTCTTCTGACACCAGGATTCTCTCTAGTGTACTAGACTGATAGAGACCTCTCTTTGAAAGCCTCAACAGAAATACATTTTCTATCTGCTGGACTGGTTAATTTTACTCTGGACACAGCAATCTGGTATACTTCCACTATGTTCTGGGTAGCTCTTTTCATGTCAGAGTTGGAGTTATGAGAACACAAGGGGGATTCCCAACACCCTCTTAAAATCCCTAGAGACTTCCTTATATGACCCTTTTTTAGCAAATGATACTTGGTATGCATTTGGGGAGGAAAAGAGAGATGTGTCCTTGCTGTTCTTTCAAATGTGCAAGTATTTTTCAAAGCAATATCCACATTTTGGATTCTCAAGTTCTGTGACTTTACACAGGTTCCTACATCTCTCTTCATCTCAGTTTTCTCATCAAAAAATAAGGGGAAGGGCTTCCCTGGTGGCGCAGTGGTTGAGAGTCTGCCTGCCGATGCAGGGGACACAGGTTCGTTCCTCAGTCCGGGAAGATCCCACATGCCGTGGAGCGGCTGGGCCCGTGAGCCATGGCCGCTGAGCCTGTGCATCCGGAGCCTACGGAAGAGGCCACAACAGTGAGAAGCCCGCGTACAGCAAAAAAAATAAATAAATAAAAAAATAAGGGGAATTGTACCTACTTTATAGAGTTGTTAAATGTTAAGCACCTAGCATAAAATTTTGAACACAGTAGATACCTAATAAAATAGTCATCATTAATTTACAACATGGAGAAAACATCATGGTGGAAAAAAGAACAGGAAAAATCGTATGACCATTAAAGACATTGAAAATTCAGAAGCTTCATATTTTGAAAAGATTTAAGGAAAATCTAGGGGTAAACCTGGCAAAGAATTTCCTTGATTTTTTTTTCTTGTGGTCTCTAGCAAAAAGTAATTAATAAAGCAAAGGTGTAGTTTATAATACATGAAGGAGAAAGGGACTTTTGGAGCAAAGGACCCAGGAATTCCATGAACAGATTACATTTAGCGCCATACTATTCACTTCCCAAATCATAACTCTTCTGGAAGGAAAGTTTCACTTCAGTATGCTGTATTAACTATGTTTAGTTCCTGAGAGATTTGAATCACTGTACTGTAGGGGTGACAAGAAAATGAAAAACCACATCCAAATTTGCACTGGGTTTCTTTCTTATGTTCACTTTGTAATGGATAAGGGGAGAGATGTGGGGATGGGGGTGGGGGGGCGGTGATGCTCAACAGCCAGGCATGTGTTAGGTGTATTTTTCTATGCATTGTATTGTCTAATCTTCTTAACACTGTAGAAAGTGGGCATCGCTCAGCTCTTAATAGGACGATATTATGATGGTGGTGAGCTGCATCCTGCCCTAAGCCATGCCTGTCTCCTAGAAGGTCCCCAAAAGAAATGCCCCATCAAAGGAAGGCAAACTAGCATTCATTGTAAACCAGGGTTCTGAAGTCAGAGGCCTTTGAAAAATGTCAGTAAATGAGTCTGGACCCTGTGGGGAGCTCTTTCACCAAGGCTTAGCCTTAGCCATCTGTCAGTATCCTAACCCAAAGCTGTGTCAGAGCCTAACCAGTGCCCTGTGAGGAAAGGAATGGATAAGGGCACCATCACCAGCTACCAAGGAAAAAGAGGGAGAAAGAGACGTGAGTGTGAGTCAGAGAGGGAGCATGTCCCATTGCCTGGTACCCAGTGGTTTAAGCCACTGTCTTTTGCTGACTGGAACATTAGCCTTGGGCTGGGCTCCTACTATAAGGGAGAACAGCATCCTAGGAGAAGAGAGAAGACAAGTAGTAGCAAGCCCTTTGACTGCCCTGAGATCTAACTCAGTCTCTGTAGAAGGAATGGAAAGCGGCACCACATTTGTATAATCCACTCCAGTCATAGAAAATAATGTACACTCTTTAGGGAATTATCTTCCTTGACCTTAATCTTGACTCCTAAGGAAAGCGGAAAAGAGGTAAGATAGATTTGTTAAAGGACAGTGGTGGGCATCCTTGTCTCACCATTACAGTTGGAGAAACTCTGTGGAGAAGAGGCTAAACTCGTCCAGGTCAGGCAGTAGTAAAATTTCAGAGTCAAGATACAGTTCCAGGGTTGTCTGAGTCCAAAGCCATCCGCCCAAAACACACACCCATGCTGCACCATCTCCATCTTCTTATTTTAACGTAGCATGTTTACATAGACGAGAAAGATATTTTAAACTGATCATGATTTTGTTAGAATTCTGTACTTTATTCATTTTTAAATAGCAGAATAGAAACTTAGTTCTAAGCACAAGTAGTTATCTCCTGGAGACTAGAAAGGTCAAACAGTAAAGATAAGAAAATCTAACAATATACCAGTGTTTTCTTTATCTTGTCTCATGGAGGAATGGACTACTTACCATGAGTTGGCTTTTTTTTTTTTTTTTTTTTGCGGTACGTGGGCCTCTCACTGTTTTGGCCTCTCCCATTGCGGAGCACAGGCTCCGGACATGCAGGCTCAGCGGCCATGGCTCATGGGCCCAGCCGCTCCGCGGCATGTGGAATCTTCCCGGACTGGGGCACGAACCCGTGTCCCCTGCATCGGCAGGCAGACTCGCAACCACTGTGCCACCAGGGAAACCTGAGTTGGCTTTTTTGCTAGTCATTAACCCCATTCAAGCGCCAACATTTATTTTAGTTTAACTATTCTTAATGGAAGTCTTATTTTACAAGTATTGTGTGCTTTCCTGCCTTCTTCTACTGAGGCCCCTGAACAAAATCATTATAAACAGCAATCTTATACATAATACAGTGAGTTCTACAGGGTGATGTTAAGCTGTATAAGCTACAATAGAGACACAGCAGTCATCTCTCCCCGATCTCAACATGCCTGGCCATCTCCTCATCTCCATTCTCCTTTTCGACCCTCTACACACTTCACCATCTTCCCCAGGAGCTTATTTGAGGAAGATAGGATGCCAAATAATCAGACTAATTTGAATTGCTTGTAAATAGTCCTGGAGTGTGCATCTACAAGTGTTTATATGTGAGTCAAGTGCATAAGTTCTGGTGCAGGTGGATTTGATTCCAGGAAGGCCATCTGGTATAAGGAAAAGAAGAGCATGGGCTTTGGATTTGGGGAAAGGTAGGTTCCAATGCTGGTGTCTCCACAGAATAGCTGAATAACCTTGGCATGTTTACTAAACCTCTCTGGGCTTTAATTTCTACATATAGAATGGAAAGAATATTAGCCCTTCATAGAGTTCCTGCCCAGAATGAATGAGCTTATGTATGTAAAGAGCCTATCATAACACCTGACCCAAAGTAGACACTTTCAGCCAAGGTTAGGCCTCTTCACTTCCTCCTAACATTTTTTTTTTTTTTTTTTTTTTTTTTTTTTTTTTGTATATGTGTTAGCATACGGTATTTATTTTTCTCTATCTGACTTACTTCACTCTGTATGACAGTCTCTGGATCCATCCACCTCACTACAAATAACCGCGGGCCTCTCACTGTTGTGGCCTCTCCCGTTGCGGAGCACAGGCTCCGGACGCACAGGCCTAGCGGCCATGGCTCACGGGACCAGCCGCTCCACGGCATGTGGGATCTTCCCGGACCGGGGCACGAACCCGCGTCCCCTGCATCGGCAGGCAGACCCTCAACCACTGCGCCACCAGGGAAGCCCCCTCCTAACATTTTGATGAGGGTTTCTTCTCAGCTCTTAGCTGTGTTCAGATAGGATGCCAAATAAGTAATGTCTGCATAAGCAAGCATCCACTATATGTCTTTCTTGGAACTATTTAGATTTTTGTTTTTTCATCCTCTCACTACCCCAACCAAAATTTTGAGCCTGGCTAGCCTATGTTAGCTTTTGGGTAGGAGTAGTTCATTTACCATGTGAATGGTACTTTGGAGGCAAGAAATAACAAGTAATGAACTCAGTTCATTGCCTCTGTCACCTTTGCTTAAAAAGAACAGTGACTGAGATCACCCTTCCAGAACATTGGAGGAGATGCTGGTCTGTGTACGTATAATCTCTACCCTGAGATTGACACCTGTCACTGTCTTCCCGGAAACTGAATTGTTAAATCTGATGGAAGCCAAGCCTCGGGCAAAGGAATA